ATACAGATTAATTAATGGTTAAGAGCTCATATAATAGCACCACTACTAATAATAAATTACTGTTATTTTTGTAGGGGAAGAGGGTTTTTTCGTGATCGCGAAGGACCCTTTGGCTGATTTTTTCTCTCGTTAAACGTGACTTGGTTATATTGCCGTGAACGTTGAATCGCCTTTTCTTCGTGGAAATTGCGAAATGACTGGCTTTTTTCACGAAACATGACTTGAACCGTTGCTATTCTTCTTTTCCAAAAATTTATCCTGTATTAAGCGTCTCAAAACAAGACGTGAAACATGACTGTCATTAGCTACCGTGAAGTAATGCAAAACTTCTCGACGCACAATGAAACGGATGTTTCTCGAGTTCGTCACATTTCCGGCAACTCTGCCGAGTCTGGTCTTTGTCAGATAAGAAATGAATCGTTAAAAAATTGAAACAATTAGAACCTCTTTATTTATTAATTAACTTTTTTCAATAATTCTTCATATCTAGTTTATTTTATGATTTAGAAAATGACCTGGCTAGTTAAATGGACGAAGAAAAATTTTAAGATTGTACTTGGTTCTTCGTTTAATTTCTTGTCACCGATGCCAGTTGTCGTGACCAATTTAACATTGGCTTGCGATTTCCGGTTGTCGATTATATACCGCACACTGGATACCAGAGGTTTTATGTTTTCGAGCCTTGGAAAAACCTTGGAACCAACATATCCAGACCTGCAACTAACGTTGCAACGTTGCTATCTATATATCGGCTTATCTTGCAACAGTTCGCTGTTTCACTTAATTTTTTTTTCTTAGTTGCGGGGTAGATGATACGCGATACAGCGATGACGAAGCATTTGGTTCTTTGTCTGAATGTCATTGATCAACACAAGCTTTATTTTCCCTAATCAGCAGAGGGATATATTGTTACTTTTATTTTTGAAACTTCATTCATTTTTAACCGGCATTGAGAGCACAAATTTCATTTTAATTCCAAAACACGGCCAATAGCCGTGTTTCTGATCCTCGTTTTATTTCGAAGCTTCTTTCATGTTCTGAAAACGTTGCTCTTTTAAGATTAACACTTCTCTATTTTCACTGTAAGATTATTTTTTTGTGTGTTGATCAAGCGTTTGACCCGAACAAAACTCCTCAAACTCTTTGGAATGACCCTCATTTTAAGAGATTACATCATCCTGCAAATAAGGGCTTTGTCTTTGATTTAACTTTTCTTTTTGGGTGAAATGAATTAATTCTGTTGGATGAAATCAATGAAATATTAGGCTCACTAAACCGAGCTGATACAATGATAAGGGTTGTATAATATTTATGTATTATTATAACTAATATTTTGAATGATTATTGTTATTATTTTGTATTAATCAAACCCACGACTTTTACCCACACCCACGACCTGTACCGAACCACGATCATTAGTCAAACTCGTCTGCGATGCAGGCTACGGATCCCGCGGCACGAGAAAAATGGCTGCACAGTCTCATTAACAAGGCATCAATCAACATGAGTGTGTAAGGCTTTTTCGATATTCTGATTGGTTGTCAAGATATTCGCATCTGAAGTTAGATTAGAGAAAAATATGCGAAGCGTGTTGCGTAAATGGACACCATGTAAAAAATATTTCAAATATCAAAATTTCCTGACACACTTTTGTTCGTCATCATTCCAGAAATGTTTTGGCGAAATTTCACGAAAATCGGTCAAATTTACGAAATTCGCTCAAAGGGGATGTATTCCTCTCAAAATCAAATGCAAGATTTTAGCTCCTAAAGGTTTG